TCAATAAAAGCTATTGAAGACAGCCTTCAATGAAAGAAATCGGGCCGGTGCAAAAACAGGGATAAACACTGAAAATGTCAAGGGTATTCTGCCAGAATGGTGTCTGAGTGGTTTCCCTGCCTAAGTGATGGGAAGAGTGAGAAAACGCTGAGTGACGAAGAAACAGACGGTGAAGTGAGACTGAACGGAGAGTGAATCATCCCGGCTGCCACCTTCTCCTGTGTTCTCCAGTAATGCTCATATTATTTTCTATATAGGAGGCTGCCATGAATTCTCTCTAAAGTGCAGCCACAAATGTCTGATGGTTAAGGAAAAATATATTTGCAAAGTGAAATTCAGAGGCCTTCTCCTCTGTTGGGTTTGGTGTACAAAGAAACATTATAGTTTATATTCCTTATATATTACCTGCCTAAAGTTTGGATCTGACATTAATGTTTGCACATAAGTCAATCAGTCCACTTATGATACAGTAGGTTTGTGGCTCTGCATTAAAAAGAGAGTTGGTAATTTTAAAAGAACAGAACATAATCTTTCTCTTCTATAATATGTTGAATTCATAAGCTGTAAAACACACCTGTTACTGCACTACTGCAGCCTTACTTGGTCTGGTATGACCAGTATCTTATGGTGGCTAATGTTAACAAACTGTAGGTGAATATTGCTGTATAATGCACATTAGGTTAGTTCACTTTATGCCTCTTTTCCACTTGTGTTACTGTTACAATAGCTTAGAATTTAAGCTTATTTTTAGCCTATTATCTCATAATTGTCAAAAACTGTCTCAAGCCACGGTGACCGTTGTTAAGCTAAAGTAACATAATCTTGCTTATGAAAATATAATCAGCATCACACATTCACTTTACAGTAATGGCTTCCTCTATTGTCATGTAAAAGCTCAAATGCACTTTTAAATGCAGATTTCATCCACATTGGACATGTGGATGATATGCTGCAAAATGGCACTGCGATAAAAGCAAAGTGAGAGCTGATGATTGACACAAGATTCAGGCTTGATACACTGATATATACTGATCATAATAATATGGCTTGATTGGCCTTATTACTAATAAATAAGATCATCCCAAGCTGTGGGTGAAAGCTCAAAATGGGTTTCAGAGAAATTGCCTCAAGGACAACGTAAGATGAGTCAAGAAGATTAATTACAATTTGGTGAGAGACAAGGTTTTGTTTTTTTGTTGTTTTTCTTTTACCTTTTTACCTTTACCTTAAAATACCTTTATAACTTCAACTCCACCAGCCAAATTCTGGTTGAATGTTGTTTTAGAGATTTGTCTTGGCTTTCATCACACTTTTCTTTGAGTGGAGAACAGACAGCAACAACACGCAGCCAAGAACCATGTACAAAGTCCGAACTGTTGCAAGGTGCAGGAAACAGTTACAGAGGAAGGACAGATGAGGCCCAAATACCCTGAGGGACCTGTTTGCTGCTGTGAGTGTTTGTACAGTCACTGATCGTACCTCACTGTTACAGAAGGCAGCCATGAATGTTGTATTGCAAGAGGTAACAGACACCAACCTCACTGCACACACACTTACACAAGAAAAGATCCTCACACCTGGCTTGAGGCAAGCTTGGCACTGTAATGAGACTGAGCAGATCAGCTAGCAAGCCCACAGATGGTGATAGAGAGTGGCTAAAGGACGGCCATGTGAGCTGATGGGCCTCACAGAGAGGGAAATAACCATAGAAAGATTAATATAGAGAGCTGCAAGACTTAACTGGAAGTTCACTGTAATTCAAGTTATTTTTAATTTATTAACACGTAAAGACAAATAAAGCAACACAAGACATACAAGAATTAACTGAAGAACAGAAAAAGGAACAAATCTGAGCATGTAACAGTAGCTTATACAAATAAAATAAGACATAAAAACAACACCACAAAAATACAAAAACTAAAGCAGTACAATTAAGTGCAATTAAATAAAACAGAACAAAACTGGGGCAGCACATTTTCACAATAAAAAATCCTTCCTTAAATTAGTTTAAAAATAATCCCAAACTCTTGTAATCATAGACTCAGAAGATGAAATATCATCATTTATTTGAACTGTTCAGCAAAATCTTTTCTTCCAGTAGTGTCCGGAGAACAATCTTTGAAGCGCCCATAAAACCTGCTAATGGAAGTCCAAATTAGTATTTGGATATACTCGTCTGCTAATAAACACAGCTGGGGAGTGATTCATGCAACCACTCTCCAACGCTTCTGATTACTCATTTCAAAAAGAAGAAACAAAAGAGCATTTCCACATGAAATGGAGGAAAGTATGTGCACTTCTAACAGTTATTATCATCCATGAGTACCATTTTTAAAGCTGGACAGTGTATATGTATAATATTGCAATCTAGTTGTGCACTCCTACGCGCAGTCGGCCTCAGATGGAATAATATTTTGTCCCTTCTTTTGTGCTGAAAGACAGAGAGAGAAAGTGAGTGCAGACAAGGAGATGGAGAATATAAAATGACAGTCTGAGGAAGACTGTGCATGTCCTTCTTCCTACTGAGGGCCAGTTATAACTGGGGTAAGATTGTGTGTCTGCTGACTATGTTGCACGCGTCTCCTTGTTCATCCTTGGTTCGCAGCTGTTGAATAACTGTACAATAATCTTAGCACATCACTAATCACTGATCACCATAACAACTTGCACAAGGTTTCCTGCTGACTCAATAACCTAATAACTTCTGGCCTCACCTGCTGTCTGCCTGACAAACAGACACATACACTAAAAACAACTCTCCGATGCACTCGCTGCAATCCTGTCACACATTGTGTGTAACCCTTACCTGTTGTTACTTCTCAGGACATTCGTACACACACCATCATGTCACAACACAGTCTCAACCCATTACCAGGAGAGTCAGCAGACATGACAACAGCATCAGCACGACATGTCTCCTCAAGCCTGAGACAAAGTCCCCCCCTTTGGTGAGGCGATCGTTATGTATTGATCGAGGACCTTATCACATCCCTGCAGATATGTTTTCCTCAGCAGGCTTGTAACAAACCTTTACAAAACAGCAGGTTTGGTTGAATGAGTATTTTTAACTCTTCCAGACATACATTATAATCACCAGACTGATATGTATTGCGGTTATGGTTACATTGGTTATTCAGGAGCACTTAAGAATTTGTAAGGAAGGATTTAAGTCAAGTTGTTTGATGTGTAGCGTATGTACAGATACTGAGACCTTGGCAGGGGCAGATCTAGAGAAATATTCATTAGGGGGCAAGAGGGTGTCTTGGAGACCTTAAGGGATGGCAGAATTATATGCTGATTTAATCACAAACCATCACTCATATCAATATTTGCTTGGAAAAGCAACAAAGGAAGAAAATTAAGAAAGCCTTGAATAGAAATATCTAAAGGAGACTTTAGATAAATCGATTGTTTTATTTGTTATTTGTTTATTTGTTTTATTGTCTTTTTTCACCAAACTTAGTCTAAAAGGTGTCCGTAACAGATGATTAAATTAATTTCAGTTTTTTAACATGTTATTTTAAAAATTAATCTAAATTAATGTGTTAAATTTGACTGCATTTGACAGCTGCCACCCCTGGTCCTTGGTTTCTTAAGTCATCATTTCACAACTTCTAGCTGCAGCTTTTACCCTCAAACTGCTGCTGCGCTCGTGAAGCCCTGGCAAGTATTCAAGGAGAAGTATTATAATATATAGATTATATCCGGCAATTCTTGCCATCCTTCCCCCATCGCTCATCTCCATGTTCAGACCTTTGGCTTTATTGGTAGATGAGTGCAGTTTAATTAACATTGTTAACAGCAATAATCCATCAGCGGACAGGACTGCAGCCAGATACAGTTCTCTCCTTCGCCTCCTCTCTCATCTTCTGAGGTCAGACTCACTGCATCTGTCCCTTCCTTTGAGTTTGAGTGGATGCAGATATTTCTAAATTGTTCCTCCTGTCTGTGCATTTGTTTGTCTTTCTCCCTGTCTTCTCTCTCTCTCTCTCTCTCTCTCTCTCTCTTATTCCAATCTCGTCTCTTTCGGCTCTATCATCTCTCGTTCCCAGCTTGAAAAAAAAATTCTCTTTTTGAAGAGTACAAGTGCAATTAAGCATGCAGGGAGGGTGGGAGCGAAGGAGCATGGGAATTAGCGGCGCTTGTAACAAGAGATGAACTGATAGTGAAAACGCACACTGTATCCTGCTCTTCTTACTGATCACACCATTAGATACATACAGAACGAGCCTCTGTTCTCTTTGTAACACTGCATTCATACTAATTAATATACGTGAGGGTACTGTATATGCTAATGCTGCAAAGTCACTGTAGCAGAATGAAAACATGCAGCAGAGCATGAAAAGCACTGCTGAAGTGTTCTTGAGCCAAGACGCCAAGACCTGACCTTTGACCTCTTTGTGGCGAAGCACAAAACGCCATAAATAAACATTTTACAGTTGTGAAAACGCTCGCTGCGCCAGCGTTTCTGCCTCCTTGTGTGGTCTGAAGTCATCCCGATTATCATATTCCTCATTATGAATGGCAGATGTTCTGTCAGGAAAAACATGTCCTTATCTCTCCGCTGCTGCGGAGTGATTCGTTAGTGTATAATGATGTGCATGAGGGGGTGGGAGGGTTGATGTGTCAGAGGCTTGCAGTCAAGTTTAGTCACCTTTCTGTGTGTGCGTGTGTGTGTGTGTGCAGCATAATAATGTTGCCACGTCCTAGACACCAAAGACCTGCATTACTCAGAGGAGTAGTGTCTAGTACTATGGTGTCTCTCGGGATCATTTATCATGAAGGTTATCACTGCATTGTTAACGGCTGTTTATGTGTGTGTGTGTCCTGGCTTTTGTTTGTTATACACCTTTTTCTCTACATTAATTACATTTATCCCCCTTCTCTCTCCTGAAATTCTGTCCTTCTTTTATATGATATCTTTCCTCATTAATCTCACCTCTCCTTACTTCTTTCCCTTCCTTCCCTCCTCCCTTACTCTTCCTCTCCTTCACCTCCAGACGAGGGCCAGACAGTTTGCCACAATCCCCCAGAGCTGGCGGGCCAGCGGTTGGCGGAGGTCGGCATGCAGTTGCGGGCAGACTGCCACCAAGGCCTGGGCTACTGGGACTACCTCTTCTTCATCGCCATCGGCTTCGTCATCTTCTCAGCTGGCACGGTGTCGGCCTGGGTGATGGGGGTGCTCATGGTGCTGTACGAGCGCTACAGCAAAAGGAAGAGCGAGGAGCTGGACAGCGACGATGAGGACGATAGGGGAGGGATGGGCGGAGGAGGATGTGGTGGAGGTGGAGGGAACCAGGGGAATGGGGATCTGAGTAAGCCCGACATGCAGGTGTGACAGACTGATGTGAAACAAGGATGAGGAGGGATGAGACATAAGAGCAGGAGCAGAGGGGAAAAAAGACAGAGAGGAAGAACCAGAGGTGATGAGAGGACTCTGAGACCAAAGGCTCTGCAATGAACCAAGATCTGACTGTCTCTCTTTGTTACAGATTTAGATATCGCAATATGCTCTTCACCATATTGGACAGAAAGTGTGTGTGTGTATGTGTGTGTGTGTGTGTGTGTGTGTGTGTGTGTGTGTGAGAGAGAGAGAGAGAGAAAGAGAGACAGACAGAGACAGCAATAAGGATGACTATGCCTTCACTTCAGGAGTACAGAATGACCTCTGAGATTATTGAGAGCAATAACCCCCATACACACAACCACAACCTCACACACACACACACACACACACACACACACACACACACACACACACACACACGCACACTGCTCAACTCAGCACAGATACTCTATGAAGTTGCTGGTTCCTCTGAGTGGGCGGATGTACCTGCATACTACTTTAAGCGCTCTTGAGTAACATTCTGTAAATGATGATTATACCAAGATATGATATGTGAGCCACACACACACACACACACACACACACCACACACACACACACACACACACACACACACACACACACACACACACACACACACAGTAAATTAATACACCTAGGAAGGTACTGGGGGTCACAAAGAGAGTGATGCCTTATCTCTGCTACAATAAAAAGGGAAACTAGTACATTTCAGTATTAAGATGTGATTTTCCTGAATGCCTTAAGGCAACTAACTTGAAATAGTGAACAATCACTGTTGTCTCCTATAGACAGAATCTGTCCAGAAACAGTTTGGGATATGATGAATGTAAAAACAAAGAATGAACTACAGCTCACTGTTATGGAACAAAAATAGATAACCTTAACAGACTGGAGGCTTGGTTCTCCTGCTGTCGGTGGGATTAACATGTGACTTTTGAAGTTTAAAGGTACGTTGTGGAGTTTTCAACCATTAGTGGCACTGGAGCAGGTCCCCATTCAGTTTTTATCTCGTGCTTTATCTACACACATGAGCACACTGGTGACCCGATCCATATTGCTGGTGATGTTTTTGCGCTATTGTTCTGATTGACAGTCTGCCACTGTCACAGATAACTCACCAAAAAATGTAGTTAGCAAACATGGATGTAAGCATCACAGGTTTCAAAAAATGTCAAATAAAAAAATCCGCTTTGCAAATGTTTTACAAGGAAGGAAATGCATTGAACGTGTTTTTAGGCCTCACGGATACAAACAAATGCATTTATGCTAACAATCAATTTTGAATTTAAACATAATTGTCTTTGTTGACAACTCTACAGGGTACCTTTAAAGAGCAACTTAACACCCCACTGAAAATCTTGTTTTTGCTGATGTCCATTGGTTTTTACCTTGCTTGAGTGATGCAGCAGTGTACTTTGGGGTGTGTCAGTACATATGACATCACTTTTGGGTGTGGTTACTGGTACTACAGAACACATTTCTGACCACACCCACCAGTAGTCACGTTTCCATCCAAGTGTTGTGCACATTTTAACCAAGTTTTCAGAAATTGTGCAAAAGAAAACACTAATTATTGCACATTTCTATCCACTACTGTTATGCTAATATTAGGAACTGGGCACACTAAGATAAACAGCTGTTGGCACTAATATCAGTCAGACGCCATGAAACCATTGCAGAAGAAGAGCGCGCAACAAGATGATGTAATTAAACGATCACCAGTCAAACCTCAAATGATGGAAAACCATGTCGAAAACACAATGTAAATATTCTTGTTTGCTTTGTGTGTATTAATTTGAGGAATGTTACAGTCTCCTCATCGCTCCGCACAGATCTGATGTTTTTCATCTGTCGCTGTTTTCATCTCTCCAGTGGAGCCAAAGCTTCAGTGGACATACGTTGTGATTTATTTGTCTGTTTCCACTTCATGTCTCATATTGTTTTTCAATCAAACTTTTCCACCTCAGCCAAGTGTTAAAACTTTTTTGCATTTTCTTATTTTATTTTTTTCAAATTTCCACTCAGGTTTTCTTATGAGCAAATTGAAAATGTGCATAAAAGCAGATGGATTGAAACACACTTATTAATGCCGGGTGTGGTCAGAAGTGAAACAGACCTGACTTGTTTAACCAGAAAGGGCAGTGAAACGCTGCTTTTCAGCCTGGTGTTAACTTACTTTTCAAGATAATCCCCCTGTGAAGATGGGCAGAAGATGTCTACCTATAGCGACACTATGTGACTGTATCATATCTTGTGTGTATTGTTCGTGTGTTTCTCTTCATGTGTCTGTGTGTATATGCTTTCCTGTGCTGCGACCCACTCTGCGGTAGTTTTTCATCCAATCTACTTGATCTCCAACCCACTGTCGTTGTGGGGAGTAGAGGGGGGGGCAGGTTCACTGTGGCAACACATGAAGACAGCGTCAGGGTGATCGGGGCGAGTCAGTCACATAGCTAACGATGACCCTACACTATGTGACTGGAAGTCTCGCTTGGTTGCCCTAATGTTACAGTTTTGCACATACAGGCTATAGAAGAGCTGTCAGGGTGGAAGTGGGCCTCTGGAGTAGTAGTAGTAGTGTGTGTGTGTGTGTGTGTGTGTGTGTGTGTGTGTGTTCATGTATGCGTGACTGTGTTCGTGTGTTAAAGTGGGGCAGAGCGATCACAGAGCATCTCTTTGAACAGCATGGACGAGTGATTCATGAGCCCAGACTGATCCAAACCCTTCTTCCTCCATCCTGCTCCGCCTCTGCCCTGTCCGTCACGGGACGGATGGGTGGTTAGAGATGATAAACGACAAGGTGTAGATAGAGGTGGGGTGGAGAGAGAGTGGGGTCACTATCAGGAGCAGGAATTCATCCTGATTGATGTACTAAGCATCTGTATTGAAAGACTGATTGATAGTCAGGCTTTTATTCATTTTCTGAGCTGAGTGGCTCCAAATGCCCCGGATGAATGGGTATGGTTAAATGATAACTCTCCGGAGGGCTTGGCAGAGAGTGTGTGTGTGTGTGTGTGTGTGTGTGTGTGTGTGTGTGTGTGTGTGTGTGTGTGTGTGTGTGTCAGTGTGTGTGTTTGTGCTCACATGCGTGCATGTTTATAGCTATTTCCAGCTTGGTTTACAATGGTGACAGTATATCTTCATGTGGATGCAGAAGAGAGTTTTTCTTTACAATAGAGAGGTAATTTGTAATCAAAATCTGTCACACCAGAGCCTGATGAAGCACATCTTCACAGACACACACTTCCTCCCTCACTCTAACACAGAATTTCTCTCTCTCTCTCTCTCTCTCTCTCTCACACACACACACACACAGAGACTCGCCCACATGCACAATAAATCTCAAGGGCACAGCTAAAGTCAGAGCCGCGGGCCCGAGGACATTAACACTCCTGTTTTGGTCTCTCTTACTATGCATCGATACATCCTCTTATCCTTCCCTCCAACCTCAATCTGACACTGTCATCAGCTTTCACACAATGCAGGCACTCACACTCAAACACACACACCTGGACATATAATTTATCTGTTAAATCTTCAGGCTGTCATTATCAGATCATTTGTTCAAGGGGAAGCTTAGAGGCGCACAGGCTTTAGATGACCTGCAGATTGCTGGTGTCAATCCTTCTTATGTTACATCACATTCATAAAAAGACATTTGACTTACAAGAGCGCGACCTCACAGCTACGTCCCCGAACATATCCTTAAACACAGTGCTTCCTGTTTGGAACGAGCAGCTATTTTGCTCGGATGATTGTCGGTTTTACGCTGACGACAAATATAGAGCTGTTTAACAGACAGAAAATGTCGGTCCTTTACCAGCAGTAGGTCAGAGGACAGTGTGCAAAAAGGATGAGGGGAGTGTATGTGTGTGTGTGTGTGCGTGTGTTCGTTTGCGGGGCACTATACTGGTGTTAACCCGTCACAAGACAGAACACAGGACAGAGTAAAAATATCACTGATCTAAGAAGAAGAGGGCTTGTGTTTTGTGTGTGTGCATGTGTGTAATCATCTGTGAAGGGGAAAAAGTTCTATAGAGATATTTACAGTGCCTGAACTCAGAGTGTATTCATTATGTTTGCCAGTGAAAAGAGACATTTGTGTGGATTTTTTGTTTAGAGGAGTTTCTTCAGGTATTATACGTGCCCGCTGGAGAGAAGCATAAAGGCTAAGGAGTTCAGAAAAATCGACATGTTGTTGCTCAGAAAATCATTGCCGATGGCGATGTTCTGGATGTGGCAAGCGATGATGAATCAGAGGGAGGGGCCGCTTTGTAACTTCTCCCCTCCTCTCATCATCTTTTTGACACATGCGCGTGGTTATGTGTATGTGTGTCTGGTACATTCATACATCATTACGCAGAGAAGGAAACATCATTAGCCCACTGATTAGCGATCAGAGGTGCTGTGTTGGCTCGCTGTTAGCGCTGCAGATTGCAGATGTCCTCAACCGCAACAGACCTGCAGAGACCGTACAGTCCTCCCTGTATGAGTCTGTGTGTGAGTGAATGTGTGTGTGTGTGTGTGTGTGTGTGTGTGTGTGTGTGTGTGTGTGTGTGTGTGTGTGTTTGTCCAATATGGGATTTCTGATATTGATACGGATTCCAATATACCTGCTGATGTACAGTGTATTATGTCTTTCTTTGTCGTTTCTTTTAGAGTTTTCTTTAGTTTTGTACATCATGAATCATAAGCAATAAAGAACATTAGGATAAAGACTGGATGAAAAGTAGTTTTCTAAGACTTTACTTGTTAATACTAAGAAAGTGATTTGAATTCTTGTGCTGCAATTGAACAGGAATTCTTACATGAATAAAAACTACACAGTTAAATATTGTAAGAATTTTTATACCACAAAAATCTTTTAATTGTCTCAAAACATTTCTTCTTTTTTTTACACGTGCATAAGTGCTAATAATGAGTTTTGGATCAAATGCATTCGTTCAGGGTGTAAACAGTGTCTGTAGGCCTATCGGTTCATCAGTTTAAAGTTATAATTATTAAGATTTTGACGAAATCAAACCCAGTTTTTAATACCACTTCTGGTTGTCGTTTTTTCAGCAATAATTATTGTATTATCTCTCTACATGATAGTTTTCACTCTTAGTGGTAGAGTCCGCCGTTCAGATTGCCTAGCTAAGCACAAGACATTCACAGGAAAACTATTTAGGCATGTAATCCAGCGCAATTGTATCCCAATGACAACCGCCTCACCGTTTACTGTTTGCTCTCCTGACACCGTATCAGAGCTGTTACTGCTAATGCTAACTGAATATTTCCTACTGCTGCTAGTTCACATTAAAAGCATTCAACTATTGAAACACAGGGTGGCTTTTATTGTGAATGTTGCTATTTTTATTGACTGACTTCATTTTTAAAACATTTGTTTATTTGGCTGCACTGTAAACAGATACAGCAGCCGCTCTTCTGTTGTATTTCTGACAGAGAAGCTAACCACGAGTCACCAAATCAACGAGGACAAACACCTTAAAGTCCAGCTGAAATCGAATTTAGTCATCCCCTTTTCGTAGTTTCAATTACTGTCATCATGTTTTTTAAATGTTTTGGTAATATTTTTTATTATTATAAGGAAGAAAAAAGGTATAAAATATCAGAAAGGCTCCTTTTCGTGTATTGATTGACAGCAGTTAGCAGGCTTAGCCATAGAAGGGACATCTAACCAGCCTAAAGACATCTAACGTTGGCAGGGAACTTTTCTTTGGTTAATGTTTGTTTGGTTGCTCGTTCAACAAGCCAAGTTGCAGAACAAGACGCGTGTTTATGTTTGTGAGTTAGATAGAAAGAGACTTTAGCAGGAAAGCTGATGTGGGCTATTCAAAGTCTGTGACTCTGTGTTGTGTAGCCACTGTCAGCCTGAGAGTGACCGTCTGCACAGCGTATGATAGAACGCTGATGTTACGAGATTTGACTTTATCGAAACAAGGTATACCATTGAATTAATGCAAAACGAGGGGGTGTCAAAAAATAAAATAAAATATACATTCAATATACATTTTCAGATTTTTTCTTAAAGGAGAACACACGCATGATTTACTGTGTGTGTTATACAGGGCAGATACAGTATGTATGCTGTAGCAGACAAAACAACATAATTGCTATCGGGATTAATGGCTTCCATTGATATTATATTGACTGTGCCTACTGTGTGTGTGTGTGTGTCTCTGTGTGTGTGTGTGTGTGTGTGTGTGTGTGTGTGTGTGTGTGTGTGCACCTTGCTGCAGTAGCCTGTTAAGGCTCAATTTCACAGATAACCTCCAATCTGTGAGGGTGGTAGGAGTAATCTAAAGCTCTCACACACACACAGAGTGCAAAGAAAAACCGAATGTAGACCTCAATAATCTTTGAGCCTGGCTATGTCCACTTCTATAAATCAATTTCCTGTATATTGCACACAATCTGTCCGTCACATGTGGCTGAACATTAGGCAAAGATTTGCCCCGCTGCTAACATGCACCACAATAACACACACACATACACAAACAGTGGGCACTGGGATAGGGTCAGGGGCTTAGAGCAGGAAGCAGAGGCTCACAGATGACTTCAATGAATGCATACATGAATGTTTTCACTCCCCCTCTCTCTGTAACTTTTCTTTCCCCCCTTTATCTGTCCTCACACCCGGCTCCCACCTGCTTGGCTCAGAGCACTCCACCCTTCCACTTTCTCTTTTTTTCCACTCCCTCCCCCTCCTTCCCTTCATTTCACTTGTGCTGCCAACTGCTCAGCCACTCCACTGGCAAAGAGCAGGCTCTAATCCTTCACGCGGCCCTCGAAACTCTGCCTGCTGGATCTTACAGCTTTGGAGCTTCTGGTGAGGAAGGATAGCAGACAGAGAGGCGGACACAGACAGACAGAAAGAAACGGCTAATGTATAGTACTAAGAACACAAAACCCTAGAAGCACAACAGCAGCGCTAGAGACGAAACATTTTGTGTATGAGAGTGAGTGTGTGTGGGTGTGTGCTTGAGTTTGTGCTCAGTCTGATCCCGTTATTTCTCTGAGGGCGATGTTAGAGCGTGAGCATGAAGCACAGAGACCATCTAATGCAATAAGTCAATAATACATCCCATCATTGCACACACACACGCACAAAACAGCCTTCCAGGGGTAAAGATGAGCAAAACCTCCATTGTCGATCCGCTCTTTTTGAACCAGTTCATGTCTGTAGGTCCTACTCTACCTATAACTCAAACACACTTTATACTCATACTGCTGTGGACAGCGTTGTCGACTGATGAGGTGAAAATCACATATGTGGAAATATTCAAATGGACGCAGGAAAGGTGAAAAGTCAAACTCAACAACTGTATATGCATCACTTTCAGCGTGACCCCACTTTGAGAGCTTACACACACACACACACACACACACACACACATACACACATAAACACACACATGCACACTATCCAGCATAAAAGCCTTCCTGTAGATGACATTGTGTGGGAGCAGAGGAGAGTGTGGCTGTCAGCAGGATTCCCTCTGCCTGCTTGCCCTTGAATACTGTTAAGAGGAGCCTGAGAAGAAAAGAGCAGGGACTCACTGGTTGTAGGACATACAATCAATAGATGGTCATTCTGGAAAGGATCATTGTGAGACTTAAAGGGAAATGCTGGTATTTTTGAATTTATTTTTTGGGGGGTAATGGGTCATACTAACTGCATTCTCTGTTGTAGAGATTCGGGAAAACAACATATATCGGGGCAAGCAGCACAAACCTCCAAATGAAGAATTTTTCCAAGTAAACTTGAATTTCAAATGCTGGTCTCTTAGTCCTAACTAATTTCAACATAGGAATTAGCCCCCTCCATCTTTGTAGCTAACTCCACATTGATGTACCAAGCTAACGGTAGCTTGCATTCAATAATGCTGCATTCAATTGAGCTGGGAATGATTTCACACCTGAGTCGACCACGTTCAAGTGTCGTTGACAAGTCGGAAAACTAGCCAGCTCTAGCCAGGTTAGCCATTAATCATTGTTAGTGATACCAGTTGATAACAACTCATTACACTGTATTTTGAGCATACAAAGCAACATAGCAGCAAAGACGTTGGACAGTACTGTGTGTACAACTGATTTAATGATTTAAAAGACAGAAATGCTAATAAACAGTATATTACTACAGCTTTCACTTAGCTGATGCGCAGAGCAGCCATCTTGGATTTTGAGTTCGAGGTTGGTGAGGTTCTTCTGACTTCCGACTGAAATTTCTGTGAACTTGGAAATTCTGACTTCTTAGTTTAAATGGAATGCACGATAAGACCAAGGCAGGAAAATACTGGAATTTTCTCTTATCGTTGTTCATCCAGAGTTAATGAGGAGCTTTTAAAGCCCTTTACTCAAGAGAGACATATCTCTCAGTCAACGCTGAGTGAACTGTGTCGGCAGTAGGAAGGTGTACTAATAGGACAAAATAATGATTGTCAGACTGGATGTCTATCCTAGTAAAGTCAATATAGTACGATTAAAACTTAAAGTAAAAAAAAGTAAAGACAGTATTTATATAATAATATATTAGCTAAACATTTCTGCAAATGAGCCAGAACTATAGTCTTAGTTTTTGTTCATGCTTTACGCTTTGGTTTTAAAGGTTCCAGGCTGTGGACAGTGGTGATTTTAATAAAAATAGTATCAGGTGTAAAAAGTGACAACAAGCGCCTTTTTCAACACCCCAATGTGACTAGAAGAGAGACGCAGAGGTCAGAAGTCATGAGAGGGTTAGAGACAGATGTTTCATGAACATGACACACTTTCTATACATTAGAAACACACCATGTGCACTCAGTCAGACAACACAAAAAACAAATACCATGATGAGCCGCAATGCACCTGAGGGTCTCTGACCTATATTATAATGGGTCCACACACACACACACACACACACACACACACACACACACACAAACACACACACACACACAGCCTGGTAACAGTCACTGGTTGTCTGACTTACAGTAGCTCTCCTCTTTCTAGTCTCTCATCTTTGGCTTTACACACTCCCACACACACACACACACACACACACACACACACACACACACGCATTGAACACACTCAGACTATTACTGTATGAATCTACACAGAACTTGCTTCTGTATGACTTGCGGTTCTGGCTATTTAAAAACTGCAGTAACTTATATTAAGTAACGTTTTATCTTTTACTATTATTAAAAATGATAGTGATGTTTAACCAACAACTGTGGTTTCACTCTTTCTGAAAATGTTGTTGTCTTTGGGTCTTTTCTGTGTTCCATGTCCTACAGTGATGTGAAACACTACACCTACTATGTCAGCACAAAGTGTGGAAAGAAGGAAGGAGGGCAGAGAGGTGATTGATTTAGCCTCTGCACCAACGCCCTGGCACTGAAGATGGGATGGAGGGATGGAGGGGCGGGAGGGAATGAGAGGAGAGGTACATAATGCTGCTGCACCTGCAACCTTACTCAAACCTTGTCAACCTGAAACTACACTTCTTCTTTCCCTTTTCTTGTCTATTAGAGTCTTTTTTTTCCCATCTCCCAACCTCTCTAATTCCCTTTTTCTATTCTTTCCGCGTCCTCTGTGGCCCCAGTGTTTCTTCACTCTCCTGTTTGCTCTTATTTTTTTCCCGCTCGGCATCTCTCTCCTTATTTGTCTTGTCTTTTGCTCTCCTTTTGCTTTGCCTCCCTCCCTTATCTCCTCTCGTCTTTTTGGCAGGAACAGCGGTTTTATTATCCAACCTCACCTCTGCCAGGATGGGTCAGATACTGCAGTGGAGCCGTCTTCACTTGGCACTTAATATAGGGAGAGAGGAGAAAAAAAACCCAGCAGAGGGAGGAAGAAAGAGTGACACTTGGGAGGAGAGTTTATCCAACACTGTACTGTAGGTGAGAAGGTTCAGCATGGTAGTCCAGCTAACGGTGTAAAATGTGTGTTTTTGCATGTGTTTGTGCAAATGTAAACTAGAAGTAAGTGTGTGCGCTGCAGCCCTGCTTGGTGCGTCATTGTGGCTGTGGGCTTTCTCAGGAGGGATGGTAGACCAGACATGGCACGCCGATGCCAGAATGCCAGGCCCGGTCTCTGCTGCCAGCTCCAAGGAGCCTCAATCGATCCTGACAGCTCAGTGTGTCACCAGGTCACACTGCAGAAAAACAAGGACAAGGAACCACTTCAATCGGCTAAAATGTACTCCGCTCCTTTTACCATTTGTAACGAGAATTAGAAGATAGTCAGAATGCTAAATTATATTGTTTGTCTGTGTACATACTTATCAAAATGTTATTTTTTATGTTCTGCTACAGCTACTGTACAAAGCTCAAGCCTTTCTATTCAGACAGAAAATTGAAGTGTGGCTGTTCGTCTCAGCTTGTTTGGAAAATCCTTTGATGCAGTTCAAACCAATTTGGGCAGCAGCGTCAACATAAGAATTACTGGCAAATTCAGAAAATTATAAACAAATGTTATTATAATACCCATAATTATATCGTGTAGCATATTTGTTGAGCTTACAAAGTAGAAAGTGCAGTCTTCTTTATTTTAATTTAAATTCACGTCTCCTTTCAGCAGTGAGCGCAGTGCACTATTTATGTTGTAGCCCAGTTATTCTGATGGTAGCAGGTTTCAGTTTTACCACACAATGATTCATCAAACAGTTTGGACAATTCTTACAACTCAAGAAGGTAAAAAATATTGATTGACATATTTTTGCCAACTTATGAAAGAAAGAGCTGTGTTTTATTCCAGTTTTTATTTTTTTGGCCTTTTTATGCCTTCATTCGGGCCACAGGTCAGATTCGAACCTGGGCCGCTGCAGCATTTCCATATATGGGTCACCAGCTCTACCGACTCAGTTAACCAGGCCCCTGACATTCCAGTAAATTTAACTTTAACTTTATTTTTATTTAATGTTAAAAACATTTAGTATTCAGTATTGAATTTCTATAAAGTCAGGGAACTTAAAGGACCAGTGTGTAGGATTTAGTGGCATCTAGTGGTAAAGTTATATATTGCACCCATTTGAAAACAGCTCAGTCTTCCAAGCATCCACATCATGCAATCTCTGGAACCAGTTTGTAGCTGCACACGGTTTCTGGTAAAAAATACTTGCAGTCCAATCTGAGATAACCCCGATGAATATCATCGGAGTTGGTCCACCAGAGTAGAGTAGGGAGTAAACTGATCTTGATGTGTAAAATCAGTGGAATTCCCCTTTAAGATAAAGTTTAACATGAATTTTGATTCTAACTGTAGTGTGAGGTTGAAGAAAGTTTATGTATACAGCCAAAAAACAACAACATGTATGTGAGGTATGAAACAAGAACTTTATGCAAATCATTTCACCTACCCGCTGAACAATGTACTGACAACTGAGTCATGATGGGAAAAGACACAGTACTGTTTGTGCCCCAAGCTCAACCGAAAATGATGGACAAATGTCCCCAACAGACGTTTGGCTTTCTGACCTCGACCTGCTGACTGGCCGTCTGATGGTGAATCTCCCTCCAGGACTGAACCTTTGAACTCGCAGAGAAACAGGAACGAGGCCAGCAGGAACGGGGTGGTTCCTGTGAGTCTTATTTAGAAGACTTATAAAACAGGATTCCCACACCTGCTTCTAACAGACAGGAGGACGGGGAGAGGAGGATGGCAGGGAGATAATGTGACAGAAACAGTTCAATCACACTCACATAAAACTGTGTCACAGTGTTTGCCATCCTTCATTCAAGTATCAGGATGAGCTCAGACTTGACACGGAGCGGGAGCATTTTGCAGATTTGTATTCTAGATCTGATTCTCAACATTCGCTTCCTTTTGACATTCAGCAGGTTGTCAAAGGAAGAGCGTGTATCTGTGCTGAGAGGCATGAGAAGGTGAACCCGCCGCTGTGCCTCAGATTAAACCTCAGAATAGCAGCTCAGCGTTCCTGTAATAGAGCTCCTCTTCCTCTGAGACTAACAGCTCATTACCACAGGACTGCCCCCAAGGACCCCCCCCACCACCACCACCACCAGAACCTCACCCCTCTCTACACGACCTCGCCCCTGAGGTGGAGCCCCCACATCGTGACGCATATCTACGTACATGCACCCCTCCCTCCATAAACTGCTAATCTTAGTAATCTCAAAGTAACTCCCATTCCTCCTCCTGCTCTTGTATTTTACCTTCCTCTCCACCATCCTTGCAGTTGCCATATGTCAGACATTTGACCCATCTTTCTTCCAACTGAACCACCCTACAACCACACACACACACACACACACACACACACACATCCCTCCAACGCCTCTCTTCCCCTCTGTCCCCTTGCAGGGTGGCTCTTGTCGACACCTTTCCTGATTTGGACGTCTTTGATGAGAATTCCCCACCTCAATCTCTGCTGTTTCCCTACTTAACCCTCCCAGGGGCTTCCCAGATCTGCTCTGACTGACACACGCACACTCTCACGCACACTGACGCAGACACACGCAGACAGAAATGACTGGATCATGCTCGCTGTGCTACACACACCGACACATGAGCGTGCACACGCTTGCTTCGTTGTAGCCTTAATGAGGTCTCATCATGTCTTCTACTTTCTCTCCTCCTCTCTGCTCTCTCTTTTTCTCTTTGTCAAGTGTCATAATTTTCATTCTGGTGCTGTACTTAGGTGCCAAATTAAAACATTAGCTGAACTCCTTTCGGAACATAATAAACTATTTCCTGAGTCCTGTTGTAATAGTCTGTGAGACTCTTCAAAGACATACCCATATGTGAAGTCATCAATAAGTGTGTCTTTCCATGAATACAAAGTGTATTATTTTCTGTCTAATTTGCAAGGGTGTGAGAAAGTAAGAGGCACTGTCTGTGTGTGTGTGTGTGTGTGTGTGTGTGTGTGTGTGTGTGTGTGTGTGTGTGTGTGTGTGTGTGTGTGTGTGTAAGTCCTGGATATGGACACATGTACAACAGAGGGTCTCATCATGAAGAAGAGGGCCTGGATGTGGAGGAGAACGCCTCATCACGGAGGAGAGGTTTTCATGATTGAAATGAGCGCCTCTGCATGAAAAGGTGCAGTACGTTAAGGGTCATCTGATTTGGCACACTTAAAGACATCTGCTATCTGACGCATCCTGCTTGCATCATTTCTACAGCTGTGTGTGGACATCAGTACATCCCCTCTGAGAACTGAGGGTTTGGGAATGACAAGCCAGCATCTACGGAGGTCACTGGTTAGGATAGAAATTAATAGTTGAATAATAAATCACAAATGTAAATGTTTAGTGTTTGTTTTCCATTTTGGGATATACTGCGTACAGTAATATGAAGATACAGCCAGCTGGTTAGCTTAGCATAACATAAAGACTCGAAATGGGGAAATAGCAAGCCTGACTCTGTCCATAGAAGCAGCCTGGTAACTACAACATAATTCTTGTAAAATGGTAAATAGATATGACATGTTCATTTGTGAGTTTTGGAGATGTAAGTATTTATATTTGGATACCTTTAGACAGAGTTAGGTTAGCTTTTCCCATGTTTCAGGTCTGCGGGTCTAGCTAAGCTAACCGTCTCCTGGCTCCAGCTATTAAAGATAGGTATACACTGTGAGATTGGAGTCTGTTTTTGATGCAATTTTTGACCAGCAACACTCAATATAGAGTCGGACAGAATTTCAGCACAGTGGTGATCGAGGATGGATCAACTGCTTCTGAACAACCGTTGGATGTTCAAATAAATGGTCGGTCGATGCATGTCTCTCATACAGTTGAAGCAGAGCCATGACTCAGGTCTGTGGCTTAATGATTGGACGGTAAGGTGTGAGCACACGAATTGTGAGCTTTGGCTTTACATCACAGATGATTAACTCGTACAGTAGGAGTAGTGTTTCTAAAATCTTACAGGGTATGTCCAGCTTTACTGTACGAACGCGAGAGTGGTATTGGTCATCTCATATCTCATCATCTCCAACTCGAGCCAAGAAAGCGAATGAGCTTGTCTATTTCTTGAACATTTGGGTTGGTCTATAGCTTTTACAATGGAGTGCTTATGGATTAATGGGTGCCTTACTACAAGCATTAACACGACATAAGTCATAAGAATAAGTTTGAATGTTTATGACAAAGTTAGTCAGTAATTTATCGCTTGATGTGGAGTTAAATTAAATGTGTAAGAAGTGTCATTAGAAAATCTGTTTTTAATGTCTTATAAACAAATTCCATTGTGTCCACTCTGTCAGGTTGCATTT